CAGGACTTGTTATTAGTGGCCGCCATGGGCCCCCCTGGAGGCGGTCGGGACCCCGTGACCAACCGCTTCACCCGCCACTTCGTCACCCTGTGCTTGCCCGAGGTGGGGGGAGGGAATGCGGGGTGGGGGGAGGGGATGAGGGGTGGGGGAAAGGAGGGACAAGGTGTGGTGCCTTTCCTGTAGTACGGGTTTTCCCTTAACCGCCTATCTCTCAGACCTCTCCCTTCCCCTCTTCCCCCCCTGGTTCCCCCCAGCAGCCCTACCCACGTCTCGACCCGCACCAGGCCAACCCCCCCCGGGCACCTTGGGCCCCTCTTACCGCTGCCATTCCCTTTCGCCCCCCCCCCGCGTGTGCCCGTATGTGTATTGTGTGTATTTGTGTATGTATGTATGTATGTACGTATGTATGAATGTATGTATGAATGTTCCCTGGCTTCCCCTGCACAGGCCACTCGCTCCACTCTGGCGCACATATTTGGGACCATCCAGGGCTGGTTCCTGACCACACGGGGGTTTCCACAACCCGTCGTGGAACTCAGGTGAATGTATATGTGTGTGTCGTACCAAGGGGAAATGGACGGGGAGATGGAAGGGGAATACGCGAGGGGCTTGGCGCTGGGTGGTTAATTGGGTGGGTGATAGTGGTTGGTTGGTTGGTTGGTTGGTAATGAGTGGTGGATAGCGGATTGGAAAAGTTGGTTGTTAGCCGTATTGATTTCTGGAGGGAGGGAGGGGGCTGGTTACCGCGGACAGCTTTCATGGTGCCTTGACGAGTGCTGTACATGTCGTATATCGTACACAGGGACGCAGTAATTGCTGCCACGCTGGACGTGTACGGCGCTGCCGTATCTCAGCTACTTCCCACACCCACCAAGAGCCACTACACCTTCAACCTGAGGGATTGCTCCAGAGTCGTACAGGGCATGCAGGTTCGTACAGGGCATTGCCGTACAGGGAATTCGGCGGGTAAGTGTGCACTCTCTGGCCCCCTTCACCCGCCACACTTCGCTAACCTCCACCGCCGGGGCTTCAGGTCGCTGCCCCCCAGTAAAACCCATATGCATACAACCCCCCTACTCTCCTCCCCTACCTCTCTCTTACCCCCTTCATCCACTCCCAATTGCAAACCCCCAAAAAACTGTTCCCCTCACTCCCGCCCCCGGGCCCCCTCCCGCCCCTCCGCAATCCAAAACCCAACGTCCAGGCCCAGGACGCGGATGCGCTGCGGGAGTCCGCTGCGTTGATGCGGCCCTTTATTATTGGGGGTGGTGGTGGTGGAGGGGGTGGTGGAGGGGGAGGGGGTGGCGCTCTGAGTGATGCCGAGCTGGTGTGTGCCCACCTGCGCTTGTGGGTGCATGAAGTGCTGAGGGTGTTTTACGACAGGTGAGCGACTCAAGAAAGGCGGGGAGAGAGGGAGGAAGGAGAGGGGAGGAGGGGGAAAGAGGGGGAAAGAGGGGGTATAGGGGGAGGGAAGGGGGAGGGAGGATCAGTGGGGCGGGGGCATGTCGGTAACCGCGGGAAGATCTCTCCCCCACGGCCCCCTTGGCCCTCCCATTCCTTGTACGGCAACAGGCTGGTGGAGGTTTCGGAGCAGCAGTGGCTGCTGGACCTGCTCCGGGACCTGACGCAGAAGCATTTCCGTGTGCGACTGGACGAGCTGCTGGCGCACTTGGCTCGGTGGCGGGACGAGCAACCTCAACCCCCAACCTCCCCAACCGCGGGTGTTGGTGACGTGGCTAATCCGGACAGCATTCGTCGCTGTCTGTTTGGGGACTACATGACGGATACGGATGCGGAAGGTATGTGTTTGTGCGTATGTATGTATGTATGTACGTATGTATGTACGTACGGTGCGGGCGTGGAGGGGCGTAGCTTCGGAGCTGAGCAATTGGGATGGACGAGCGTAACTTCAAACTGTGTGTCAACCCCCCACATCATCGAACACTTTTCCGTCCTCTGTCGCTACAGACTAGAAATTTGAATTTAAAAAAATCCAATATAAAATATCTCTGTCTGTCTGTCTGGCTGGCTAGACGCCTCCTGGGATCCCAACCCCCCACTCACCAACTTCCCCAACCCCCCCGGGTATCAAATGCTGCCCCTAGTGCGCTACACCCCACCCCACCTTCCCCAACCCAGCCACACCAAAAGGGAGGGCGATGGCGCGTCCATCAGCCTTTATACCTTTATTGCTTCCCGGCAGCCCTTCGCCGCCACTTCCCCCTCCTCTCCCCCCATTGCCTTCCAAAAATATATTCCTGTACGGCAGTATCAGTATCTTGTCCAGTCCTGGAGGAGTATCCGCGTCTATCTCTGGTCCAATGTGCTTTCAAAGAGCAGTCAGTGGTTCGTCTTACCCCTCTCCAAACTACCTTTCAACCGCTTTAAGGTCGCTCCCGCCAGCTCGTCCCCTTTCTTACATCCATCCCCTTCCCCCCTCCGCCTCAACCCCCTTCCCCCCTTCCCCCTTCCCCCCCAAGGCAACCCCCGGCCCTACCTGGAAATCCCCTCCCCCCCCGAGGCCGCCACTCGCCTGGAGGACCTGCAGGCGGATTACAACGGCCTGGGGGGGGCGGGGGGAGGGGGGGCTCCCAGACAGAGGCTGCAGCTGGCTGTGTTTTTGTACGCAGTTGAGCACGTGACACGAATTGCCAGGTGCGCGTGTGCGTGTTTATGTGTGTGTGTGTGTGTGGGCTGGGGGATGGTGGGGAAAAGGGTGTATGTATGTGTGTATGAATGTCCTGACACAGGGCGTAGACGTGAGCAGGCGCTGGATAGGGGCGGCTGCCGCCGTATGAGTGCCGGCTGCACGGCATCGTTTGTGCATATATAACACAGAAGATGTATACATATATATACATATATACATGTATGCATGTATACATATATACATATATTTGCCGTACATTTGGATTACAATCATTTCACCAGGAAACCGCCCTCCCACGGTTCCCCCCCTCCCCGTCCCTCTTACCCCTGATGGATGTCCCCCGGGGCTGCCGTACTCCCAGGGTTTTACGGCAGGAGGGCGGTCACGTGTTGTGTGTGGGTGTGGGGGGCAGCGGCAGGAGGAGTCTGGCCAGGCTCGCGGCCTTCATCTGCGGCATGGACTCTTTCCAGGTACGGCTGGGGGGTTTTGGGGACTAAGAGGCGTCGGTTGGGGTGGGGGAGATGAGGGGGGAAGAAAGGGAGCGGGAAAGGGTACTTTACGGGGTGTGTATATATGTATGTGTGTATGTATGTGTGTGGGGGGGGGAAAAGGGTTACCTTGAGGGGGTTGAGGCCGCACTCACGGCAGCGGCCCCCTCCCCATCGCTATAGACATTGGCAATTGCCGTCCCTCTCCCTCCCCTACCCGATACCCGTGGTCCAACCCAGCCTCCCGCCTTTCTCACCCCCCCCCCGCCGTCTTCTCCCACCCGTCCTCCTCTTCCCCGCTCGTGTTGCGCACTTGTCACCTGCACGACTTCTCCCGCGCCTCTCCTAGCCATCGCCAATGCCGCCTCTCCTTCAACCCCCAACCCCAACCCCAACCCCCACCCCCCTACCCCGCCCTCACCCCCGCCCTCACCCCCGCCCTCACCCCCGCCCTCACCCCCGCCCTCACCCCCCCCCAGGTGGAGATCAGTCGCAGCTACGGGCTGTCCGAGTGGCGCGAGGACCTCCGTCGCCTCACTCGCAGTGCGGGGGCGGGGGAGAAACCCACCGTGTTTCTGTTCGGAGACAGCCAGGCGGCACAGGAGGCGTTTGTAGAGGACGTGAACAGCCTCATCAACAGCGGGGAGGTACGTGTAGGCGGGTGTGTGTATGTATGCATGTATGTGTGTTTGTGTGTAGGCGTGTGTGTGTATGTGTGTATGTATGTGTGCTTGTGTGTAGGCGGGTGTGTGTATGTGTGTATGTATGTGTGCTTGTGTGTAGGCGGGTGTGTGTATGTGTGTATCCATGTGTGTTTGTGTTGCGTTTTTGATTACTCTGAGCCCCGCGATACGGGAACAGGCCGAAGTGGGTGCGACCGAATAACTTCATACTGATGTGAGCTCCGAAGTCACCCCAGGTGAACGACATGTGTAAAAGCCCTCTCCCCTTGTAGACATAGAGTGAGAAAGCACCTAAAGCGCCGTGCACTCTAAACCTGCCTAGGCGCGGAGGACTTCGGTCTTGGTTTCCTGCGCTTACATCTACGAGCTCTTCATAACACACTTCTAATCAGCATCTATTTGACTAATTCAAGCAGCTATGTAAATATATACATAGAGGTTATACACACACACACCCTCCCCCCCCCCTCCAGGTCCCCAACCTATTTCCCCACGAGGAACGCGCCGCCATCTGTGAGGCCGTCCGTACGGCAGCCCGCAAGGCCGACCCCTCCGCCCCCGACACCCCCACCGCGCTGTGGTCGTACTTCGTGTCCCGGTGCCGAGCCAACCTGCACGTGGTGCTGGCATTCAGTCCCGCGGGGGGCGCCTTTCGGGAGCGTCTCAGGAAGTTCCCGTCGCTGGTCAACTGCTGTACGATTGACTGGTAGGGGCTGGCCGGGGGGGGGAGGGGAAGAGGGAGAGGGGGGGGAAAGAGGGGGAGGGAAAGAGGGGGGGGGAAAGAGGGGGGGGGGAAAAAGGGGGGGGAAA